TAACTGGATTTTAGTTACTACAGATTCATCACTGTTGACTGCCAGCTGACTGCTCAGTCTTAGCTCATAAGGACCCTTAAAACTTCTTAAGCTTCTACTGAATTTTAAGATGTGCTTCACCTTAATTTTTCCTTATACTCAAATGAACATGGTTTATTTCCTTCATCTTTGAGCAAGCTTTGGGAAGACTATGATTTCAAAATTCAAAKCAGCTCCTTCACAGCTAAGTATTACCACCTGATTTTGAACACAAGTTCTTGCAGGTATCTGATTCCTAACTGTCCTAGTGTCAATGGAGGAATCCAGCATAAACACAGTTTGGAACTGGTCAACATAAAAGAAAATTGGATCATAAAACCATGAATACAAGGAACTGAAGAAGTTGTAATAGCTACATCTACTATTYGTCAATCCTGTGAGAAGAAAACAATCTATTTTACGTTTGTCAACTTTTTTCTTAAAATTTAGGATCAAACTCAAAACCTGAGACCTGTTCTACCCCCAGCTGAAGTAACAGCTCAGGCTCCTTTTTCATACCTGTGAGTGCTGAAAACCAGGCCAATATCCCAGAATATGTGAGGTCATGCCTGTATGTTTACGGGCATTTGACATACTTAGAATGGATAGTTTTATCCTGACAGGGAAACATACCTGTTGGTAACAGGTTTTTCAACATCTAATTAYCATGCCAATTTCACTAAGGATATGAGTAAGCTTTAAGTGGAATGACCACAGCAAGAACAATGCACAGAAGCAGTTACATTGCAAGCAGCACGCACACTAACACTGTGAAATACTGACGTTAAGTACTGTGCATCATCAATTCAGGTATGTAATAAAGCATTATTTACTTACTTATTTTTGTCTCCAGCACTTGAGCAAATGAGAAATGGATTTCTCTTGAGCGATAAATTACTCAATTTTCTCTGAGTTAAGTTTTACTGTCTGCACTTAGTTCACAAGAGTTGGTTCTGGTATCAGTGGGAGTCTAGAGACTGAGAATTTTAAGATGACTGAACTACACAATCAATCAGCATATTTAGTTCTGTGAGTCCTCTAGCTCTCCTCCATACTCTGGAACTCAATACTACAGGCCTTGGTCCTCTAAACTGATGTGCATAGGATGATTATAACCACTGGAGCTTCTTAGAGCAAGCCCATTATGCTCACGGAGAGTACCCAAACTTTCACCATTCTTCTGGCTGCCATCGGTCACCAGGGCAGTAACACACCACGGGCTCTCTCTGGCCASGCACCCTGCTGAAACCCGCACCAACCTGCACCGCCAAGCCTGGCAATGACTCTCTCCACACCGTGAGAAAACCCTTTGACAGAAATCCATCCAACGGTTTAACAGATAACGAGGGGATAGAAAGACACTATAAAGTTTCTTAAAAAAAATATACTGGATTTTCTCCAGGAAGTTTGAAAGTTATTCTATCTATGTAAAAACGCAAATAGKTCCGCTTGTTATTTAGATAAATGAACATTTTCAAGGCGTAGGCAAACAGCAGAGGTGATAAGAAGCCAGGGAGGTGAGAGAGAGGCAGAAAACTCCTTCAAGTTTCTAAGCGGGCGGTCAATACCGCTGCGGCGGCCCGGCCGGGCTGTGCAGTCTCCATGACACCGCAGCTCGCCGGCCGCAGGAGTGCGGCACTCTGGGAAGCGTCGCTTCCCTGCCATCTTCCTCCGGCCGCTCTCGGGTTCCGCGGCGGCTCCCCCAGCCCCGCTCGCTCCTCACCCTGGCCGGGCTAAGGCTGGTGTGGGCTGCCCAAGGTCAAACCGCCGGCYGCCCACCGGGCCAGGCCCGATTCTCCCCGGGCGGCCCGGACCGGTTCYCCCGTCCTCCGCAGCCTCTCGAGGGACGCTTCCCCGACACAGCGGGGCTGGGCCCGGGGATCCCTGCAAGGGCGCCCGCCCCTCTCGCTACTGCCGGAGTGCCCCTGCCCCGCAGGCCTCGCTCCCCGCCGGCACCAAGCCCCCCGGCCAAGCACTCACCGCCGCGGGGACTCGCTGCCTCCGCCCCCCGGCCCGGGACAGGCCCATGTCCGAGCGCGGCTGCCGAGGAGACGCTACGCGGCCATGACTGCTAGGGCGGAACTCGGCAGCGTCCCTCCCTCCCTGCCTCCCTCCCTCCTGCCGTGCCTCCGCTCGCCGCGGGGGCGGGGACTGTCACGGCCCTATCGGTGCCGCGGGGCCGCCTCAGGTCGCGGGGGTGCGGGGGAAGCCCTGGCGTTAGCTTTGTSCTGCGGGCCCCGCGGGGCGCGGCCGCTGGGTCGGGCGGGGGAGCAGCCCCACACTCGCCGTGAAACAGGGGGCGGTGTGAGAGGCTGATCACCTCGGTGTAACACCACCCACCCGCCSTGGAGAGCGCTCCCGGGGAGCATGAGGTCACCGGCCCTGGGCCGCTGCCCCGCCGGCCTGGCTCCGTCTCGGGGCCGGGAGAATTTGTTACCGAGGCCAGGCCACTGAGAGCGGACTCTGGGGTCTGTCATACTCGTAGGGCATCCAGCGTTTGTATGGCTTGTTGTAATGCTGTTGGTATTGGGCACATGAAAAGTTCAAACAATTCCTCCATCTCTAACTTGCAGTGTTGTGTCAGTGATCAGGCATGTGAAAGGTTCTGCGAGAAATGAGAACAGTTCTATGTCTGCTATACTGTGCAGAGAGGTTAACATCAAATCAATAGAATCCAACAATTCTAAGCTGAACTGAATATCAATAACACAACACCCTTCTAAGTGCCTTTTTCAGACCTGCTCTATATGTTTTAGCCAGGGGGGGCGATACCAGAAAGTTATGACAATATGGAAGGGGTAAGTCCACTGATGTCKGTGCTTACTATGTGTACAAATTAATGTTCTCCAAACTGGACTCTGAGAATCCCTTTTATTATTTCTCTTGTATGAAGAAATGGTGTGATACAGTCTTTGGTCTTACTTACATGAGCGAACCCCAGCCATATATAGAAAGGTGTTGGGGAGGAGCTGCYTGTGCAATTAGCTTTACCCCACTCCGGAGCTTGTTAAAACATGCTAATATGTTGATTTACGTATTAATATGCAGTGGTTGCCTCAGGTTAGAACACATTTTCCTATCAGCACGTATGTTCTTGTGTAGCAGTATTAAATAAATAAAGAAAATAAACAGTAGAAAWTGGTGTGCTTTTTAATAGAATGTTTTAGATTATTTAGCTAAAAAAAATGACATCTAAAGTGGGGTAAAATATAGAAGTAGAAACCAAGTATTTTACAGATGTGAAATATGTTCTGAATTGCCTACATCAGATATCCAGCGTCTCTCTCTTACATGTACTTTTGGTGAATCCTGTAAAAAAAAAAAAAATTATTATTTTGTGATCATAATAATGAAAACAGATATACAGTGCTAATGGACTAAATGCAGACTGCATTCTTCACCTCTATGAAAAATTGTCGCAAGTTTCACTTTTCTGTAGCGCTGCTGCTAACACTGGAAAGTGATCCTGTTTATTGGTACATGCCTGTGAGGATATTGTAGCATTTTCTGTGTCTACTGCTCCTGCCTAAGTGAAAAGCCATAACATGACAAGCCCAATCCTCGTTGAGAGACACAGACACTTGCCAACAACGAAAGAGATGTGCTGAAGGCTGCATTCAAGGTTTCTACACCTTGGGTGACAAGTGGCAGCCCTGAGGTGTTTGGATTTGTTCTCTAGTGCCGCCYTCTGGCTGAGCACGCCTGGAAAAACCAGTCCACAGGTGACAACACAGGACCAAACGGTTACTCCTTGGAATATCGGTATTGGTACAAAGCTGCATTAGGTCAAAGGCAAATAAGAATGGCTTTGTAAACAATGTTGTTAAAGGTATTCCTCTGATTAGCTAGTGGGTACTATAATCTCAAAAATAACAGACTGGAATTTTGTCGTTGGTATATTTTCCTGAAGATTATGAGATCCACACTTCACAATGGTAGCAGATTTATGACTTGCAACAGCTTTGGGGAGAACATGAGCGCAACCACTTTGCAYTGCTGAAACAAAACTGGGAGAGAAATGTTTCAGGGCCTGGGCTGTCAGGTTTAGTACTAGCCTGAGACTGAGGGCCAGAGCCCTCTGACAGAGCAGCAAGGACTGAACACTATACTCGAGTTTTCATCCTATCAAATCCTATCTCTATGATCCCAAAGTGTAGCTTCCCCGGTACTTAAAACTGGTGAGGCCACACCTTGAGTACTGAGTTCAGTTCTCAGACCCTTAATTCAAGAAGGATATTTTGGGGCTGGAGCAGGTCCAGAGATGGGTAATGAAGCTGGTGAGAGGCCTGAAACACAAGTCCTTTAAGAAGGGGCTGAGGGAGCTGGRGGTGTTCACTCTGGAGGAGGCTGAGGGGTGATTTTATCACTCTCTACAACTCCGATAGGAGGTCTCGGCCAGGTGGGAGGGAGTTTATCTATTCTCCCAGGTAACCATTGAAAGGACAAGAGGACATTTTTGAGTTCCACCAGGGAAGCTTTTGGTGGACATTAAGAATTTCTTCAGAGAAAGGGTGATTAGACATTGGAACAGACTGCCCAGGGAGGTGGTGGAGTCACTGTYYCTGGGGGTGTTGAAAGACTGGACCTGGCATTTGGTGCCATGGTCTAAGTTGACACAGCGGTGTTGGGTCACAGGTTGGACTCTTGCGATCTGAGGCCTTTTCCAACCGAACTGATCCCGTGATTAACTCTAAAGCCCTGCCTCGGGCAGGCAAGACAGCCAAGTCGACGCTCAGACAGTGCACCCTCACCTGAGCAGAGCCTCAGCAGCCAAGAGGCGGAAAACGCAAACCACGCAACCCTTCGCACAGTGTAACCCATGAGAGCGACCCCTGTTCTTATTCCATTAGCTGCCTCTAGGGAGGCCACCCCGAAYCGCTGAGAGCGCGGGTCCGGCCCTCCCCCGCCGGGCGGGCAGCGGGACGGAACATGGCGGGGCCCCTCCAGCCCGCGCTTCCCCGCCTTTCCCCCCGGCGGCGCGCATGCGCGCTGTGCGGCGGTGAGGCCGTATCCCTCCGCGCGCCCCTTTTCCCTCGATGTCTGTGTTAATAAGGTAATTCCCGCGCCCATGGTAAGTGCCGGGCGC